AGCGAGTCAACTTGCTGTCTCGATAGTTGACGTACTTGGTGCCATTTTTTTCGCTCAGGGCATTGATGCAGTTGCCCAAAGCCAAGAGGGAGCGGTTGATGTGAGCCCCCTCTTTCAACCGCTGACCCCTGTTCTGAGTCTGTGAGAGAAAGAGAGAGAGAGAGAGAGAGAGAGAGAGAGAGAGAGAGAGATTCAGGTGTTGGACATTTTATGGCTTCGTTAAAGAGAACAGCTAAGACGTGACAGAGCGAGTGAGAGTGAGACGTCTGCAGCTAAAACAAACTTATGAAACTTATTTTCTCAATCAACTTGTTTTAACCTAGCTGATAAAACCCACAACTATTTTTTAAATTATTTTGAAACCTGCTCATTTAGTCATGAATGTATAATGCTTCAGTGAAATACTTTAAGGTTATATATGATGCTGCCACTAGATGTCGACAAACATTAAGTCCCTCTCCCTCCCTCTGACTCACAAATGTCAGTGAAAGTGACACAACCAGACGCACAACTGACCAAACTGTTACTAGAGTAGTAGTAGTCATGTTTCCGCTCTTGCCCAGCAGGTGGCGTTACCTCCTAAATCAACATAAACTTTAGAACCTGCTTGAGCTCCAGTCCTGATGAGGCAGAGAAAATGTCCCCCGGTGCCCTCGAGCGACAAACAGCTCGGTGTTGTGCTCAGTTTCTAATGGAGCTCGTAATACGCGTCGTCCATCAACAGTCTCCATGGTAAATAAGTGGCTCTCGCTCGTTTGCATGTTAATCTAACACAAGTTATTCGTGTGACTGACAAAAGCAGAAAAAAACACCAGCATCCAACTGAACAGATTCTTTTCATCAAACTCAAGTGTCCATTTTAAAAGCGGTAAAAGTCATAATGTGATAACACAGCCTTGCTGAGAGTATCCTCGATGTTCTCGACTGTGCAAATTATTTATTTGGCAATATTGAAACTGCTCATGGTTTATTTCACCATGCATTAGAGTCTGAAGTGTTATTTTTACATTTGCCTCTTTTGCAAAAGGTTGAAAACAACTTTGCTTTTGCAACATAGCGTATCATCACGTTGCATCTGTCCACAGGTCGGAGTATAACTTTATTAAACTGCACTACTGGACCATAATGGCAGATATAAAGAGGCTTTGTATTAAAAGTCTCCTGAGGTCAATGGGGACCTCGATCCTCTGAGTGTTGCTAAGATGCGCTGCCAAGCATCCTCAGAGAGCGACAGACACTCAGAGCACCGCCTTAAGGTTGTGGGGCCATAAATGTTTCACGTATTCAAGCAGGATTAAAAGAAACCATGTGAGGCATGGTTTAATATGAGCAAAGGCTCTGAACGTAAATTTGAGTTTGGCAGCAGACTGTTCGACAAAGGTGAAGACACCCACACACCACAGGTGCTCACACAACAAACAACTCCCCACGACCAATTAAACTCATCGTCAGCAGTTTAAACACTTCCTGACTGACACGCACACACACCTGTGCTGCTCGCTCGGAGCCGGCAAGGTCGATCATGAAGAGGCGTGCGAAGCGAACCTCCTGCAGGACGTCTCGGCAGCGGCTCTGCTGCTTGACGGCCACCTGCAGCACAGCGTGGGAGCGAGACGACGTCTGATTGGCGGCTGTGGGCTCCTGGGTGCGCTGCTTGTTCCCCTTCATCAGCAGTTCCATGATCTGACAACGACACAGGGGAGAACTCTGTGGTGCGTCCGGTTGCCATGGATGGAATCTGAATGTTTCGATTAAAATAAATGTTGCGCGTAGTGAGTCGGCCTGTCTCACCTCTTGGGCGTTGATGGTCGACACCTCAGTGATGCCGGCGACCTGGATCTCTCCCTTCGCGTCTTCTCTCAAGTCCAGAAAGCCTGACGACGGGTTCAACAGGTCCCGGATCATCTCGTTGTAGATCTGAAAAGACACAGACAGAAATATACAACTGTCAAAAATGAATTTGCTCCGTTCCTTAAATCATCGAATGGAAAAATGTTAATGTGAATAAAAAAGGCTCCATTCAGAGCTCCAGGCCTCCAACACGCATCCAAACCATGTGCAACAACATCAAGTGCTATATTTTCATCCGCCTGTCATTTAGAAACCGCAGCTTTTTTGGGTGGCAGGCTGTGACCGAGCCTCCGTCCTCTCACACTGTTATTGAAGGTGCAGTGTAAAAGCTCCTGGAGCCACATGAAAGCTCGCTGCAGGAAGTGACGTCCTGGAAAGTGGCCGTCGGACGACAGCAGAGGATCCAGCCACAACCTCTGATGAGACTTTCACTGACACTGAGAGTTTCTGTTATTTTTTCCTCTGCCGGTTGAGTTTGAACAAGACTGTCGGTCTGTGGTCGAGCTACCTGCTCGGTGTGTATGACCATAGTTGTCACCCCTGCCCATTGGTTTATTTGTTTTGCAGCAAATGCTACTGAAAGGATTTCGTGGAAGGATGAAACATGGGTCAAGGAAGAAAAACAAAAAGATTTTGGTGCAATTCTAAAATAATTTTCAAAGTCAAGGAGGACTGACTTCTACGAGTGTGTGCAGTTTGGTGCAGCTCGATTGAATTTGAGGGGACGTTGGTTATTGGAGACAAAAACTCAGGGGAATCAACAAAGTGATATAAATGTATCCTAATTAATTAACTGATTAATATCTGCATCAAATTAAATGGCAATCCATCCAACATTTGTCTGGACACTTAAGAAAAAAAACTGCAAATGTGAATCTCACGTTGGTGCTTGAGGAAAAGTCTCATATTTGGGAATATTATCAATAGATTAAAAGATCAATAGACTGATCCTAGCTCAGCTAAAAAGATTCTTCTTCACTTAAAGCTCCTAAATAAGCTGTAATATAAATAAAGAATAACAGTGGACATTTAGGTGGAACAACCTGAATCCGTACTGTGTTTTTTTTATTTGCATTCTACGTCTTGTCGAGTCTTTGCATGTGTTCCGGAGAGCATGACCAGGGACAAGAGAAGCAGTGGATGTGTGCACATCGCTCAGCTCGGCCGTAAAATGGCCCTTAACCTCTTTGTGGTGACAGTGGCAACGGATTGCTCCGTGGAAACGGCAAACACGGACGTCACACCGCAGCCTCGTGTCGGGGCTCATACTGAAGAGTTTATCACAGGTCAGAGAACATCCAGACTCTCACGACTGGCGTTTTAATGGCAGAATTTTCACCCGCCCAGAGCGCCGCTTAAGATCCGAGCTTCAATAACACTGTCAATCACTTCATGTAATGATAGTGTTTGGCGCTGGAAATACAAAATGTAATTTCGAATGTCTGACGCAACACCCCCCCCCCACAGACAACAGTCACAATTTGTACCCAACAACTGCTCATATTGTGGCCTGTGCGTGTTCGGTTGAACGCTCTTTTCATATTTCGCTCTTTGGTTGTTATACAAGGTTATAATCACCACTGTTCTCTCTTCATCCCTTTATTTCCTTTTTTCATTACCTTCCCTGACAGCATGAACATTTCTGAATAAATGTGACTCATTTCCTCTTTATATTCATGCCACCATGCGTCTTTTCCCAAAGCGGAGAGAGACGGACAAATTGGTCACTTAGAATCCAGAAAAAAGATCCTGAACGAGGCAGTTAATTAAACAATACAATGACTTAACGTTTCCTGTGCTCTATGCTTTGCCTGCGAGGTGAAATGTGAAAACAGATCATGTGAAAAGAGAATTTTATATCGAGGTAATAAACTGTGTGTATTGTACCACTATACTAGTTTTCAACCTCGGTTTCAGTCAAGGAAAGACACAAATAACCTCATTATACAGGAAACTAGGATAGTTACTGCTATCAGACTCAAATGATCCAACTCCATCGTACTCGGATCTATTAATGGCTTTAATGTCATTAAACACACAGTCTGAGCTGCTCGGTAATGAGGCGCAGAACCACGGCCGGCGGGCGCCATCATCAGCCCGCTGTCTAATCTATGGTTCATGAACATGAGGACGACAGGAACCGAGACACGTGCAGATCAGAAATTTGAAGATGAGTCATCACTGTTGCATTCACTGGATCACTCTGTGTGTTTGGTGTTCGTGATGAGAAGACGTGTCTGCAGACAAAATGAAGATCTGACCTCCAGGTAGGACATGGAGACACTGTACAGCATGTCGTCGCTGGTGTCCTCGATGGCTCGGAACAGGTCGTTCAACGTTCGAACGTAGATGCCCGGCTCCTTGTCCGTCCCCAACATGGTGTATGTCTTCCCACAACCTGGAAACAGAGAAGAAAATGTAAGAAAAAGAATATGGACCACTGTTTCACTGTGTTAGCACAGTTCACAGAAGCCACGCAGTTAAACCTAAACTTAACAGAACCTAACAACATGTCTTCACCTTAAGATTGAATGATTTACATTCTAAAACCCATCAGAAGAGCTGAGACAGATGGACAGACAGAAAGGGAGGAGACATAGAGACACATGGAAATGGAGAAATAGTGCTAAAATATTCTCTGACGATGTGAAGCTGGAAACACTGGAGGTAAAATGTGACTCATTTTCTACTTAGACCTGCGCTAAAATAAAAAAAACCCTCAACAGACGTGACTGAGACGTGTCCCTGCTTCCCTGTGAGCTGAAGAGATGACTCAGACTGAGGCTGTGCTGAGATTAATGAGTAGAAAACATTCATTAAAGAGGAGTCATAGGTTATCCACCAAGGTTTCACACACACACACACACAAACCTGTGGGTCCGTATGCAAACACAGTTGCGTTGTAGCCTGATATCAGGCCCTCGATCAGCCCTTTGGTTGTAGCTCTGTACACCTCGTCCTGCACAGGGAAAAGAAAATGCTCTTAAACCTTAAATCCAAATAAATCTCACTGAGTGTTTCATTGTTCATTGAATTTTTACTCTCGGCTGACCTGACTGGCCGAGTAGTCGAACGCCACGTCAAACATGTAAGTCTTCTCCCGGGAGCGGTTGGCACGCAGGATGTCGTCCGGGTCCTCCATCGGGTCCAGGAGAACCACCATCTGATGACGAGGGGGGGGGGGGGGGGGGGGGACATATGTGAGCATCCAGTCGTGACTCTCAGCTCCACATTATTAAAGTGTCAAAGCAGGAATCGTTTAATTTTTCAAGGACGTCATTAGAGAAACCTTGAGGCTGCACCAACCAAGATCTGTTGTTCAATTTGAAAAGAGTCTGGTGCACGGAGTATTGAAATCAGACAGGAAGGAGAAGACACGAGACGTGAAGGAACAAGCTGTTCTTTTCCTCATTTCACACTTTCAAAGTTAAGATTTTTTTTTCGGTATTCTCATAACATTCTGACTTAATCTCTCTTTAAATTGCAATTGTTTTCTTGTTGAAGTACAAATTTATTCAAGAAATAATGAGAATTTATTCTTATTAAATTACGACTTTATTGACATTATTCTTGAATTTAATTTTTATACATAATTCTCCATCGTAAGAAATAAATGAACAGAATAGACAGTTTCACCATCACAGTGTTCTCCTGCTGTGTAAGTGGCGGAAACGTCAATGATAATATTGATAATAACAATAATGATAAGCCGAACAAGAGAGCAGGGACAACCCATTTACTTCAGATGTGACGGTGGGCCAGCGGGGGAGTGTGCCAGGCTCCGTCCACTAGTGGAGCAGGAGAGTCCTCTGAGGCCTCTAACCCCTGAAGCACCCGGCCCGGTTGATTACCACCTCAACCACCGAGCCGCTCACTTTGAAGCCTCTCCATTGAAATTCAAGAGGAGAGATTTCACTTTTAATAAAGTGACCACAGCGGGTGAAGGCGAGCGGCGTTGGGAAGCTCGTGCGGGGAGCAATCAGCAGAACGAGGGGCGCGGGAGAGGGGGGTGAGGAGCTGAAGAGGGTGAAAGAGAGGGAGGAAAGCAACACCGCTATTTAAAGCAGCACTACTATGCAAGTTTCTCTGAGCAACAGCGCCCCCCACAGGGATTCATTAATTAACTAATTGAATATTGGAGATAAACTTTGGCTTTTAATTCAGTTTTTAGTTCAGCTTCACTCTTCAACTTGATTCTGACAGATGAAGCTGTGAACCCACACTCAAAGTTACACAAACAGACGTTCAGCGTGAAGAGAGGGAATTAAATTCACTGAACCATCGAACCCATTTTTAAAAGATGCATAATCCTGTTCCACGGAGAACATATGAGAACGAGAGGAACATGTGCAGCAGCTGATGCTTCCTCTCTCCTCTTCTTTCTCCTCATCCTCTTAACTTCCTGCTTCTCCTCTAACTCTTCTCTCCAGCTGCAGTGACGTACGAGTTCTGATCGCGTTTCACAGGAAGGATACTGTGAACAAGGGAGCACGTCTCTTAGTATCCAAGGTCAGGACCTTAGGTCACTTGGACTTGGCGGACACGAGGACCGTCAGACTCAATTAGAAGAGTGTGAACCAGATTCCGACTGATTTGTCAATGAGACTTTCACAGAAATATGTAAATCAATACACATAATGAAAAAAACATAGCATTTTAATTGTTTTATGTAAAAACTACTGTGGTGAAACTGTGAAATAAAAAGCTTCAATTGCATTTAACGGTTTGATAAAGACATCTTAGGAATCATTGTAATTTTATCTTAGAACAACAGCAGCCCCCAAAAATCCATTTCACCCTGCTCTAATCTGGTGAATGTTTTAATCCTTTGAATCATCAGCAAATCACTTTGACTTAAAATGATATATGTAGTAATATAGTAGTATAGTAAGTTTAAAGTATCTGAGGATCACTTTTCTGTTTTTCGCATGAACATGAAAACAACCTTCGCGCTGTGGAGACGGAGCATCGCTTCTATATCTCACCACAGAAAGTCTTCTGTCCTGGAACACATGACAACATGACACTGGTGCGTTGAACTTGACCTCACGTGTCACGTGGCTGTAACACCAGTTGTGTGTGAATTAAATAACTAAGCGAAAAAACAGATGCCTTTTAAAATTTTGAGCCACGTCACAGTGGACCAGCGTGCATGGTGTGAGTTCCTTGAGAAAGCTAATGAGCATGCAACAATGCTCTTACATAATTGCACGTATAGTGGGTATCACATAGTGCGCGCTGTGCACTCATGCACAGTTTTGTCCCTTGGTGTGCTCTTGGGAAAATCATTAAAGACCAGGGGTGTTGATAACACTTCTGGTCCCATCTGTCATCTGTGTTTCTTGAGTTACAGTAACGTCCACGGCTCCACCCACGGACGTGCACACACAGCAGCTGCTGCTCAGGCAAATTCTATACCGCTCATTTTCTTAAGTCTTCTGATAAGACTGTGAAGATGCTGTCTCTGGTGACAGCAGTATGAGACTACAGATGTCTGGGTGCGCCAGGGTTTGGTGCCAGTAACAGACTGCAGGTTGGCACGAGGGCGTCTTTCACAGCGCACTGTCCTCTGTGGTCAATTAAGAGGCTTTTGGGAAACAAAGAGGACGGGGTGAAGTACAGGTTAGTGACGTCCGCCGCTCAGAACAGGCTGAGGAGTATTTGGAAACACGGCAGTCTCATGGATACCATCAAATCTCCCACATAACCTCCCCTCTGCCTCGCACTCACTCACGCTCACACAGTTGCAGGGAAACAATGGAGACACGCACACAAACACACACATAGCAACTCGTGTCCACTGCAACAAGCAGGTTGACCACAAGAGCGGAGGCCGGTCTCTGTGTGCGAGACGAGAGGCAGTGGCGTTTTTCTTTTACTAAAAAGAACAAGAACTGGTTGCTCTCTTGAGCTACGTTCAAGCACTGGAGAAAGCTCAAAGTTCAATGACAGAGACAACATGCTGAATGGAATCATTACAAATAGTATTAACATGATAAAAGTTACATGAAAAACCTTTATTGGCGTTTTACAAATGCCACAAGGAGCCAATGACTGCATGTAAAATTGGATGTCGACTGCAGCTTTAGAAAGTGAAGCCAACTGAAAAGGGACGGTCTGGTCTACAGAGGATTTACCAGCGTCGCTCGTCCCACCCTTGCCTGGCAACAGAGCTGAATTTGGACACGACGAGAAAGTCTTAATGCCCCATTGTGCTTTTAACACGTGTTCAGTATCAGTTGTGCTGAAGCATCAGACGTCTTGTCGCTCACCTCTTTTAAAAAATGGTTTGTCACTAAAGCACAATGAATCCTGGGATAGGTGGGAACTGTTTCTCAGGGGTGGAAGGACGCATTTGAAGGGAATGCAGCCCCTGAATTGGGACCAAGCTACGGTTACTTCTGGTTTCCAAAAAACCAGGATGGCGCCGGACAAAATGCCAAACTCTTCAAAACGGCAGCTCACGAACCAACGGGGGATGTTTTCCTCCTTAATCCCAATTTGCCGACATTTTTGAGACCAAATGATTGATAGAGAAAATAACTGTTAGGTTCATTCTGGGTATCTATTTAAGATTCTGCTGTGGCTAAGTGTTATGTCACAGTGTGACTCATCACACGCTACGAGTGATTTCTGCTGGGTGAAGCTGGAGGATTTATTTCCACGTCGACAGAACAAACGGCTCAGAGCAGCAGAATCATCGATTCCTCCTCTGTATCTGCTGTGTGTGTGAATTATGAATCCACAGCTGCACGGCAACCGTCTCTCCAAACACACCTGGCCCAGTTCAGAAAACACACAGGAGCTGATAAGATTAATAGAAATGGCTCCGGTGCTGCTGTTAATGAACAAAGTGGCGGACGGGCTGTGACTATGACCCTGATAATCCATTACAGGGACAAAGGCTGTGGCTCTGATGTGAAGGAATAAGGTTAAAGCATTAATCAGAGATCTCTTTGTCTTTTTCAACGACGGGTCTGCTCTTATGGTCTAACCGTCTGTAGACACACAGTCATTTCAGTCTGCAAACATTTGACAGCGGAGAAGAAAGTAGAATAGATTCAACTCTAAGCATCAGTGGTGGTGGTTAATCTTTCATCTCTTGTTTTTCTATTCCATTTCATCCAAGAATATAAATGTGCAACAGCAGAAGACATGCACTCTTTATGTAGATTCCAATTTAAAGTGATTAAGATAGAAATTAAATCAAAAAAGAAAGGTGCTGTAATCCTCACATTATTCCTCTTTTGAGAGATTATTAAATATTCCTACTGTCTTTTTTCTCAATGTTGATATTCAGGGTAATTTTGGTTATCCTGTGATTGTGAATAAGAAATGTCCCAAAAAAGATGAATATAACAGCGTCATAAGTTGCTTAAACACATATTGTGTAATATTTCCGGCCAGTTCAATAGAATATAATGAGGTGGGTGATGTCGAGGTCGGAATATCCCCTGCGGTCGAAATTGGCTCCTTTGAACCAATGACCTTTTTTTGTTGGCTGCCAACTAATTCATGGCCACCACCGAAGAAGACGTCAATTTTGACACAGGTGGGCCAGAAGCCTGAGGGACACGAGAACCAAACGAAGTCAGAAGACGAGCAATTTCCTGGTCGACAGCCTTCGTAAACGTGTTGTCATTCATGGCAGCTTTAATCAAGCTGTCCCCTGTCAACAATGGACATCACTTTTCATTTTGGTTGCGGGGCTTGACTCAATTTTACTCGACCCCGGGGGGGTGCTGACAAAACAAAACGGCCAGAGTGTGAATTTACACACGGCGACTATGAAGAAAAAAAGAGGTGTTGAAATATTAATTTCCTTACAAGGATCAGCCAAAGTCAAAACAACAGCTTGCTTATGCGGCGACATGAAACCAATTAGCTGGATGGAGTTATCTAAACACCATAGAAAGGGTACGAGTGCCGCACCCCTGCCCAGCGCCTTTCCTGGATGATGGGTTTTTCTAATCAAGAGGCCCTGCTGCCGCTCTGGCCGTTAATGCCGTTACTTGGTCGGCCGTCCCGCTGATTAAAGCGCTGCCAAGTCCCACTGCCGATCCATAATTCAAAGCCTGGATGTGGTGCGGTTTCACAAGTCCTGCCTGCCCTGGTTGGTTGTCCATGACTTGCTCCGCTATCGTGTGCCAAGTGGCAGACGCT